AAGAAATAAACTTTTCTGGGGGAAATATTTAAACCCAAGGCCTTCACACTGAACTACACCCCCAATCCTTTATTACTGTTATTCGCAGGCAGGGTCTAAGCTGCCCAGGCTGGGTTTCAACTGGGGATCCTCCTGTCCCAGCCTCCTAGACTGTGGTAACTCAATCTTACCCTTGCTTTTCTTCTTTGGCCATTACATGTGTCTGATTTGGCAAAACTAACTTTCATCTTTTTCTCCCTCTGCTTTTCCTTCTTCTCTCTCTCTCTCTGAAACCCAAGTCTCTTACTCTCCACTTCCTCAACATCTGCTCCATTTTCCTTTGTTCGCGGTAGCGGTAGGAGAGAATCACCTGCCTTCCACGCTGAACAGACCCGGCAGCGGACAATACGGTTTCAGAACCATGGACAGCTGCAGCACTGACTCGTTCTCACACTCAGCACTCTCCTTTCTGCGCTTGGGAAATTCCCCTTTTCAGCATCACCTTCCACGCCCCTCCTCTGGAAAGCACTCTCTGATCATGCCCATGCCACCTATGGTGTCCAAGTAACACCCTGACCGTCACCTAGAGCCATCTACACTCCACGCTTCCACACTCAACTTCACACCAGCTGGTCCTCCATGCCCTGCACGCAGCAAACAGGTTTGAAAAGGTCTCTGCCCTTTTGGAGTTCACATTCTAGTCAAGGAGACCGGGAACAGGTCATGAGAACAGCAGTAAGAACTATGTATCATCCAGGATCTGCTGGGTAAGAGAGGGCTGGATAGCACTAGGAACTGCCAGGAAAAGCAGCTCTGAGCAGGAGCCAGTAAGAACCCCTGGAGTGGCTGGGGAAGAGCCCCCAGTGGCGAGGAGCGCCAGAGCTCCTCCCAAGGTGAGGCCGGATCAGCATCCCCAATGCGGAGTGCGAGTGGGTTAGGCGATGAGGTCAGCAAGCTGAGTGGCAGCCAAGTCCCGAAGACCTTGTGGGCCGGGCGTGGACGCAGGATGCATTCTAAGTGCAGTGGGGATTCACCAAAGGGGGCTGCGCTGAGACAGGTGGCACCGACTCAGCTGTCAGTGCCAAGCACAGGGCCTGGCACGAGCCAGGTTTGGGGATCAGGTAGATATGGGGCAGGCACCGGCACCACTCTCATGGCCTGGAAAAAGAAAATCAATGCCCTCTGGCTTTGTCCCTGCTGCCCAAGCACATGCAGCCAGTCACGGGCTCTACTGACCTCCCTATCAAAACCCAGTTCTCACAGCTGCCCAGCTCGGTGCCCACGGAGCCCTTCCCCAAGAGGAGGCTGCTGGAGCAGAGTCCCGTGTCCATGACCCTCCCGCCCCCGCCCACGCCTCCTGCAACATCATGCAGACCTACACGCTGGTCCCATGCCAACTCCGCCTCAAGGACCTGGCTGAGCTTCCTGATCTCAGGCAGTTCTTTCTCTTTCTCTAAGGCTTGGCACCCTCACTGTAAATTTGGGGTAACAACTTGATCTCTGCTCTGAGATCTAAGGTGCTGGGCTTCTGTTCAGCCTTATGCTCGCCTTCTAACTTCCTTCATATCTAGGCTTTCTAACATTAGCGAGGCAGACAGTGTCCCGGTGAGGCACGCTGGGTTGGGATACTTCCTCTACTGGCAGGAAGTTTAACCTCCAAGAGCATCTGTGTCAAAATGGAAACAGGAATGTACCTTTCAAACCACAAAACCAAAGATCAAAACAGAAAACAGTGCCCACATTACTGGGTCAAGAGAAATAAACAACTTAATTCACAGAACTCAGAGCTGCCTGGCCCCGAACACCCATTACGTTGCAGTTACCACTATCACCACTATTGTTTTTTTTTTTTTCTTTTTTCACTATTGCTTTCTTAATCATTTATTTCCGCTACGTGTGGAGCACTTAGAGTCTAGGTACTTTATATCCACAAAGTAGTGCAGTGTTGGCCAGTTACCATTTGGCCTGCCACATAGTTTTGGATGGTTTGCAACCTAAGTGTGGTTTTTTGCACTCTTTTTTACTGGTGGGGCTCAATAAAGAATATCTCGTGGCACATGGAAGTTACACGGCATTCTGACTGCAGGGTCCACAGCGCAAGTATTATTAGCAACAATTCCACAAGGGAAGACTTTCACCCTGGTCTTTCTAGCCACAGTACCTGGCAAGCTTGAGAACACGTGGGTGATCCCTTGGGACTGCGTATATAGGCTATGAACTAAACCAAGGTCAGGCAGTGCGGCTCAGTTTCTCCCAAAATGCCAGGTTGGAAGTCTGACCACCAGCCTGACCTTAGCCAGTTGGCTCCGGGGCAGCACGTGGGCACATGCTTAAATCAAAACATGGGTTGGGTTCCTGTTCTGTCACCAACTGGCTGTCCTTCCCCCAGCCCATTTCCACTTCCGTGTCTGCAAACAATGGGGCCTCCCTTCTAACGTTTAGGGTATGTTGAATAAAACTCCCCGTGCTACCTACTCTTGCCCCACTTTCTCTCTCTCTCTAGGCCACTATTTTCCATCTGAAAAATGATGAGGCCTTTTTGCTGTGACACTCTCGGATCATGCCATCCCCCGTGTCTTATTTTAGCTCGGTGTCTGGCTCCACACACCGTGATTCAAGTCTGCGCTGAGGTTGCACCCTGCTTTCCTGGGAAAAGGTCTCAGCAGGCTGGGTTGAAGGCTGGGGGAGGTTTGGCCTTGGGAGAGCTGGGTGTGGAGCAGGAGGAGACTGGGGGAGGGGACACTGGAGATCAATGCGTGACTCTACACAAACTGCTGGGGACAGGGTGCAGGCTCCAGGGCACACGGTGGAGGTGAGACTGTGTGGGGTGGGGGTGGGGGTGTTTATGAACTATCAGCTCAACTGCAAGGACCAGATCTGAGTTTCATTAAATTACTGTATCCGCATTTGAACCAAACCGGAGAATTGGGTTGGAATGAGTTGGGTGTGCTGAACTGGTGGGTTTAGGAGTAACACGTCTGGCCTCTGCTGCACTGTGCTGGATGCAAAGAGGCAGCCCCGCTGCGAGGTGGAGGGCTGAGAGCTCTGAACGCCCAGCCATCTGGCAAAAGCTCACACTGGAATAGTGGGCAACTAAGTCCCTGCCCAGCGCTGGCTCCCAACCCCCCACCTCATCAGGTGAGAGCTAATAATAGCACCTAGGTGGAGGTGCTCGCCAGGAGCCTGCCACATACCCAAGAGCGCTGCACCTCAAAATAAAAGACCTACGAACAAATACTGAACTAGAGCCCTGCACGGCAAAGCATTTAGGGCGAAGCCTAAACCTCACAACGCAGTGCATCCTAAAGAAAAAACACTAAGAGAGAGTTGAAAGGGGATGAGATGCAAAGGGCCGAACAGAGGGTGGTGCGAACCCACAGTAAGCGCACAACCGACCCACCAGGGGGGATGTGAGGGCTCACTGCAAAATTATTTTGACTTTTTTGTTTGGGTTAAAAAAAAAGACAACATAAAACCGAAAACAGAATGTTGCACAGAAAAGAGCGCCTTACAAACTGCTAATTACTAAACTATCAGGGACGGTTAAAAATACAGGCTCTGGGGGCGGGGCGCACAACTGCCTCCCAGCCGCCCCCGGCCGCAGGGTGGGTTCTGCTGCCCTCAAGAACAGGGACCCCACAGGACGCTCCAACGGGCACAGCCCTCCCAGGCCACAGCCTGGCCGCAGCCCTTCCCTTGGGCTCACCCGAGAGGATAAAGAAGATGCCAGAAACGAAGGCCAGGATGGTCCTCTGCGGGCGGATGTGGCCGATGTTGCTGATGACAAAGGCGGTGAACACGAGGAACAGGCTGACCATGGGGAAGGGTGTGGCTGTACGCACGGTCTCTGGAGGCAACAAGGTGAGAGGCAGGTGAGGGTCTCCCGCAGCCCCTGCCCCCCATCCGCCCCTTGGCCTTCCAACAAGGTCACTCCCTTTACCCAGGCCACGCCCACTCAGGCCCTCCCTCCCCCCTGCTGTAGCCCCCTCTTCCCACGTCCTGGCCTTTCTCCCAGGACCCCTTTTTGACTGCGCTCCTCCACGCCCTTCCCTCACTCAAAATATTCTCCGTGTTTTCCGTCACCAAGTTGATCTCTGGTTCCAGGAAGTATTCCGAGGCCACGCAGCGCCCCTTCTCACGACCTGGTAGGGGTAGGGGGCAGAGGCAGGGATGGAGAGGAGGGTGGATGCTGAGCTCCAAGAGAGGTGTCAGGGCAGAGGGCGAGGACCCTGGGTGGGGGGCAAGGCACACCCGAGACTGTGTTCTGCCTTAGGGGAGGCTTGGGAGTTCTTGTGAGTGTCCCTCGAGACCCCAGGTGGGTGAGGGCAGGGCCAGACCCCAGGTCCCCAATGAGGAGCGCGTTGTGGGCCAGCACTACAGGGTCTCTAGGGTGGGAAAGGGGCGAGGGGCCAGGACTTGGTCTAAGACTCCTAGATTCGGAGAACAAAGAATGAGGAGTGGGCACTCTGCAGAAACTTCAATATCCAGGAGAAGACGTGCACCTTTTCTTTTTCTTTTCTTTTTTTTTTTTTTTTTTTTTTTTTTTTGATTGCTCGGACCCCAGGAAAGGGACTGGGCATGGGGCTTGCGTGGTTGGGGGCAAGGTGGGGGCAAGGCAGTGTTGGGCAGTGCCCCGCACCTGCAAAGAAGCAGACCCGCCAGAGGCCAGCGTGCAGCGCCATCTTGACCTCAGTAGTCTGGTTCTGCGGCAGCACCGTGCCCTCCTCCATGTACAGCCAGTAGTCCGTGCTGACAGCGATGCCCACAAGCAGCAGGCCGCAGGCACCAAACACGCTGCTCAGCAGGGTCAGGGCGCGGCTGCTGCAGTGACTCATCCTCAGCGGCGGGGGGCGCCCTGCGGGGCCTGCAGGAGAGGAAACTGGTTGGAACCCTGGAGGAGACCCCTGAGTCCCTCACCTCACGTTGGGACGTTGAACCCTTGCTGGAAATAATGATTCCAAGATAGAACCTTCTCCATTCCTCTCCTGGGTCCTGAGCCATGACCCCAGTGCTGGCCTCTGACCCAGGGAGTAGCTCTGTCTGACTCTGGGCTAAGATCCCCAACCCTGGAGAAGATTCCCAAATATCATGGAACGCCAATGACAGATGCTGTCCTGCCCTGCCCTGGTAGACAACTTACAGACCAGACCCCACCAGGGTCCCTCACACCCAGGCTGAGCTGGTGACTCTGACCTGAGACTCCAGCCAGCGCTACCCTGCCCTAAGACCCAGCCATGACCCCACGCTGCAACAGGGAGGCCTGCCACCTGCACTGTGAGACAGGATCTACAGCCCTGGGCCGGGGGACTGCGCTTGGTCTTTGGATGCTCTGAAGCTTGACCTGCCTGGAACTCTCACATGAGCCACACAACTTAGCTCCAGGCCTGGACCCGATATGTGAGCCACATCAAGAAAATCCACCATACTCAAAAGCCCCCAAATGCATCCTAATCAAGGATCCCTAGTCCTCCGTCCTGGCCTCAGAACCCTGACCTCAGACCTATCCAAGACTCTGAACAGAGGCTCCAGTCCTAGGTTCGGCTACTGGACTTATATCTGGACCCTAACAGCCAAATCTAACCCTAAAAACTGCTGCCTCTGACCCAGCGTCCTGACCTCAATTTGGCGCTCCAATCAGATATCACAGGATGCAGAATTCAGACTGTAGAATGGTTCACACTGAGATAAGAACAATTGGAGAAGTATCCAATATTTTAGTGAATTTGTAATTGGCAACTCATGAAAAATTAGCATCAGGTTTGTTTGTTTGTTTTGATCTTTTTGAGACAGGTTCTCGCTATGCCAGCTTGGGCTGGCCTTGAACTCCTTGAGCTCACTTTGCAGCCCAGGTTGATCTTAAACTCTCAACAATCCTGCCTCAAGGGGCTGGAGGGATGGCTCAGTGGTCTAAAGCACCTACTTGGAACAAGCTTGGTAAAGCACAGGGATTGCTGTTCGATCCCCCAGCACCACATGCCAGCCAGCCCCGCCCCCTGGTGGGCTGAGCTGGCCCCCACACACACACACACTAAATAAATGTTAAAAAAAAAAAAAAAATCCTGCCTCAACCTCCCAAACACTGGGATTACAGGCATGCACCACCACACCTGGTGAAAGTATCAGTTCTTGAAATTTATACCCAGGCGTCACGTAAAGACAATGAAAATACTGACTAGACAACATTCAAAATAATATTAGTGGGGTTGTTTTGGTACCAGGAATTAAACTCAGGGCTTCACACTTGCCAGAAAGGTGCTGCGGAGGTATATCTCTGACTCACAATACTGTGTTAAATTCTAAACCTGAATTTCAATAAAATTTTAAAACTGAAATGGGGATTTTGGAGTTTGAGAATTGGTTGCCAGATCCCAACACACGGGAACTCAGAAAGCTGGAGCCACTGTGTTGACCAGGGATCCCAGAACATCAAAGCCATGAACTGGGACCCTAGGACCCAGCACCTTAACCAGAACTCTCCAGCAAGACTAGAGGCTCCTCACCTTGGGAACTAAGGATTGGTGCTCCCTGACAACAGTACTCCCATCACACGACCCCCAAATTCCATGGCAGACATTCTAGACCCCAATCTCCTAGGACTTCCGATCACACACCTTCTTCAACAACCAACGTGGGGCCTGGATCCCAACACTAGACTTCCAAACAAGAACTCCTAAGTCACAGCTGTGGCTCTAAAATCCCATTAGGGGCTCTCCCAGAGACTCCACCCCGATTACAGGGCTTCTCAATCTGGGACTGAAGGGCTCCAACGCCTCCATTCGCGCTCTTCACATCCCCACTTCCCCGAAGGGAAGTCCCTGGTGCCACACAATCCCTGGATATGGGGCTCATTCTGACACAGCCAGCCTACATCTGCCAGAGATCTCCGGGTGCTTGAATACCAGCGACACTCATCACCTCTTTACCCGGGAAGACTGCGACCCTCAGCAATTGGACACGAGCCCACTTCCCTTTAACCAGACTTCCTAGGGTCTTGAAACTGCCCAGCACCAGTAAGGACTTTGGAGTCTGAGGTCATTTTCAGTCTCACACCCTCAGCCTCATGGGGATAGAGGGGCTTGGGGACCGGAGTCTGGGAAAGCTGGGGCCGGCTCCTCCTCCCACCCCTCGCCCCGTGCCCCCGGGACTTGACGGCCAGCTGCCTGCTGGTTTCTACCCTCAGCTCGAAACAAATACCCCAACCCCTTCATCCGAGGCCTTAGCCCCGCTGTCCCAGGCCAGTGCCCGCCGGCTCCCTGCCGGGGCCCGGGCTCCGCACCCGCCCCTCCCTCCGCCCCAGTTCCTCCGCGCTCTACCTGGCCGCCAGCACCCCGCCTAGCAGCCCTGACTCCTTTGGGACCCTCCCCCCAGGCCTGAGCCTCCTCTCGCCCTTCCTCCCAGCCTCCCCTCGCGGGCGGGTATGTAGACCCCTGAGATCCCGCTCTTCTAAGCCCAAGTCCGAAGTCCATCTCCCTTCAGTCTCCTGGGAGAGCGCAGCTCTTCCTTCCTCGGGACCCCTTTGCAGACTTACAGTCAGTCCCCGAGCCTGGGCCTCCAACCGCACAGCCGCCCTCCGTCGGGCCCGGGCTAGCCCCTTGCGGTGCAGCACGCTGCGACTCCGACAGAAGAGCTCCGAGTCCCCACCCCGGGACCCTAAGACCCCGTCCTCCGGGATCTACCAGGCCCGGAGCTCCCCGCAAGCCCCCAGACTCCGCCCTCGGTCGTCCCAATGACCGGGGTCCCTCCCAGGAGCCCCTCGGGCCCTCTCGAGCCCCACCACCGCCCACAGCCTCTTCTCCGGGAGCCCCCAGGATCCTCCCCGCGCTCACCTCGCTCAGGGCTGGGCGCACGCTCTGGGCCGCGGGCCCCGCAGCCGCATGACCGACCCCGCGGCTTACCCCGGCCGCCGCCGCCGCCCCCGGGGTCGCCGGTGCCCGC